AACAGTGTCATCATCAGGATTGGGCTGGCCATTTTGGCCCGTGCTACTCTGTGCCTCTTCGCTGTGCCATTTTTGATTAAGCGTCTAAACTTCTGCCCTGGCAATAATGTCCTTTCTCACTCATTCTGTTTCCATCCTGATGTGATGAGAAGAGCCTGTGCTGACATCAGCCTCAATATACACTATGGGCTCTATGTGGTTGTGTCCACTGGGGGCATAGATTCCCTGCTCATTGTCCTATCCTACACTTTCATCCTGCGCATGGTCCTGAGTCTGGCCTCTCCCAGGGAGCGCATCCGGGCCCTCAACACCTGTGCCTCCCATATCCTGGCTGTCTTTGTCTTCTTTATTCCAGGTGTCACCATGTCCATGATCCACCACTTTGGGAGGCACCTTCCCGCTGTGGTACATACCCTTGTTGCCTACGTGTACCTAGTGGTACCCCCTGCACTCAATCCCCTCATCTATAGTGTCAAGTCCAAGCCCATCAGGGAGGCCATGTTCAGGGTCCTAAGGGGGAAAGACAAAGGCTGATGTAATTATGACATGCTACAGAGTCTGGATATCACAAAAGACACTTTCTGTAGCCTCATAGGGTCCTGCTACCCTCAGCAAGCACTGACAGTCCCTAGTCTGTGCACATGCGGTGGGAAGACAATGAGGCTTCTTCATGATACAAATAGACATTCACCATTTACTTTGTACCAGAAGCAGTGCTGAGAAGGAAAGGCTAAAGACATGTAAATACACAGAGTATAGATTTATACATACCATAATAAAGTTCAGTGCAAGAGATCACCTAGGACAGTAAATCCATGCATGCCAGAACTTTCCTAGGAAGATCAGACAAACCTCTACAAAGGGGAGAAGGCTTTTTATTTCATCTTGGAAAATGTATAGGGTTTTTCTAGGCAAACTGTGAATTAAGGAAAAGGAAAATCTAGAGGAAAAAAGACATGAAAAAGCCATTTTTCATTTTTTCATAAATTTTTATTGAACAAGTGAATAAATGTGTTAATCATGTTATATGGTGCCACCTGCCTAAGCACTAACTCTTCTTGTAACCCCACTCAGGAGTGTCTTTTTCTCCAAGAGACTCACTTGCCTGACAGATTCCATGGTGAAGTCTGACACTGACAGTTGCATCCCCTCCTATAACCACAATTCAGATTTCCAACAGTCTTCATACCCTTATTCTTCAAGTGTGTTAGAGTTAAGAACTCTACATCCTTGTTGGCTTCCTTAGGAATAGTAAATTACAATCTGGTTCTGCATCAGCTTCATATTCTTTGGATCAAATATAAGATAAAAAAAAATCTATGAGACTCCAGGGGAATGGACATGAAGTTTGAAAGTACTTTGCTTAAGAGATAAACAAGAACACCAACTCTGAAAGCCTAAACCAATGTTATAATATAATCCTTTCCCAAGTTCAGATCTGCCTATGTGAAGGCCAGCCATAGTGGAAGGGAATGACCCTCCACAGGTATGTCCATTGCATACAAGGGAATCTTTCCTCAACTTAATTAAAAGAGTGATATAAAATAGGTTATTATCTTAGACAGAACTCAGAGATCTCATTCTAGCTTTTCTGAACTGAAAATGGTCCAGTTCTAAAAATCTTCAAGAAGTCAGAGCACACTGAAGAGAAAATACTTCTTCTGGCCTGACAAATCGTGGATAGCTTCATTTTATAAGGAGTTACTAAAAAAAGGGGGGGGGGGGCAAAAGATCAGTTCACTCAATGGGACAGAGTGAAACAAAGGCTTTAAAAATTCATAAAATCAACCAGAGACACCAAGTAGCTGAATAATACGTTGTGTGGAAGAATTATATATGTTATACTGAAAAAATTAGACAGGAACAGGTATAAAAGGAAAAAGTGTAGCCTACTGTCTTTCTGAGAAGTAAAAACTTTTCACGGGAAGTAACAAAAGATCTTTGATGGATTTTAAGCCAGGAAGTTAATCAGAGGTGTGTTTGGAAAAAACTCCTACTAGCTCTGTGGGATTTAGAACTGGTGCAAATGATATTCAAAGCAAGGAGACCAGTGTGAAGGTTTTGACAATTGTCCAAGCAGCAGGGGAGTATCTGGGCTAGAGAGCTGGTAGTATAACTGAGAACACAAGACATGTTTATGAATCATTTCTAGGTAAAACCTAAAAAGAAAAAAAAAATGTGTAAGTGACTTAAAGACTGAAATTTCATGTTGTTCCGAATTTTCTAGGACCCAGCAAAGGTCCAATTAGCTGCAGTGGTGGGACCAGAGACAAGAATATCTAAACAAGGGAAATGGGGCCAATAAAATGATGTCCAAGTAAAATGTATATGATAAAGTTCTTAAAAGTGAAAGTGTTAGTTGCTCAGTCATGTTTGACTCTTTGCAACCCCATGAGTTGTAGCCCACCAGACTCCTCTGACAGTGGGTTTTCCCAGGCAAGAATACTGGAATAGGTTGTCATTCCCTTCTCCAGGGGATCTTCCCAACCCCAGGGTTCAAACCCAGGTCTCCCTCATTGCAGGCAGATTTTTTAACTGTTAAAACTACCCAGGAAACGTCTAATTTCCAGTCAACTCTCCTAAAAAAGGCAGCCTCTCTTTTCATCCTAGTTCTTACCTCTGGGCCCTCTGGATGACCCAGTAAGTACTGAAGTAAATGACCAAATATAGTTTTGTCCCTAAATCTGGCATTTAGTACTTATTGAGAAACACAGGAAGGTAGTGGAAGTGTTGATGTGTGTGCATGTGTGTTTACATTCACCAAATGGTTAATCCATTTAGGATCAAAACCGTGAAACTTTATCCTGAGCATATTAACTATTATACACTTGGAATCTCTTTTGAAATCTAAGCTAATAGCTGCATCTCCAGAAATAAAAATAAAAAATGTGTCTGTCTGATTTGTCTCTTTTTACTTATTTATCTATGACTCTTGTGGGATTTCAACTATAAAACAGATACTCACATTTATCATATACCCATACAGAAGCATGTATACAAACACTTATTAGAAATCTGGAAGAATAAACACCAAAAGGCCAGCAGTACTTTTTTTTTCTTTAGGGTGACAAGTTTATTGGAGTTTTTATTACATTTTTATTTCTGTTACATTTTCAGAATGTCTAAGATCTTTGTTTACTATGATCATATACTGGTTTCCTAATAAGAAAAAAGTCTTTATCTTCTCTCTCATTCTGTTTCTTTCTTTCAATCTCAGTGTCAGGGCACTATTGGGAACTGGGATGATCCTCTATACAGTTCAGAGTGACCCTAGCTGGCATTGACTAATTTATATCCCTCCATCTGCTGGTCACCACTCACTGGGCACAGCAGATTCCACATGCTCACAATTCTCATCTTCTGGATTCCAGTCCAAGAAATTGGATATGCTCTCCTGATATCCTTTCTATCGAGTAGTCCTGTGCTTCTGGCCATGGCCAGAAAAGTCTGTTCAGCCATGTGCCATGCTCTCTACTCTCCTACCTGCTTCTCACACTTACCTACCTCTCCTTAGGTCTGCCTAGCACCCCCTGTGGGTGCAGATCTCATTCCTCCTCCGTTCATTACTCATGAACTCCTGCAATGCCCACACACATTCTTCCCATTTGGCTTCCTTCTGGAAATGCTATACTTGGCCTGTGGGGCTCCTGGGTGGGCCTTTGGAACCATACTCATGCTAAATACAGCTATCAGGGATACAGTCTTAACAAAAAAAGTCTGTATTGCATGACACAACATGTCGGATCTTAATTCCCCAACCAGGAATCAAACCCGTGGCACTTTGATGCTGTGGGTGTCCCCAGCAGGGTATCTCAGAACCCTGGGAATACATGTTGTCCACGTCTATGCTCTATTCACTTTCTGTGCGCCTATGCTTGCCTTAGCTTTTCTTCCTCACTAGTCACCTGGGCCACTGACCCTACTCAGTCTCACAATGCTTTGTGCTCTTGACTCCCTGGTCTATGGTACCAGCCCTGCCCTTTCTGCCATGAGCTTCTAAGTTTTCTCAGCTGCATTTCTCTATAAAGTGTCTCTCCAGATAGCCAGTGAATGCCCCAACTACTAATCATACTATTACCCGAAATAGCCACTGTTTGGGAATTACCCAAACATATTCCTGTTGCTACGACATAAGTACAATGGCAAGTAGTCTGGGAACCTTTGAAATTAAAGCCATCAACAACATTAACAGGGAATTCCTAAATACAACACTGAACGAGAAAGGAACTTAAATACAGAAAATTCAACACTCTAGAATGTCTGACTTACTACCCCACTAGTCTAACAACCCCTCCTCAAATATGGGATTGGGCATCAAAAGATAGTGTTTTAAGCCCGTGTGATCTCATTGAACATCCGTCTCCCCATCAGTACAATGGGGACACTAATCATATTCCTGCAGAAATCAAAAGGTTGATAAGAAAATTGTAAAATAAGGAAAACTGTCCAGAGTCTATGAAAATGCTCAGATACAGTATCATCTCTCATTAATGTAGATAAATGTAATCTTTTGTGAATTTATTTTCAATCCTCTTCTTTAGAACTGGTAGTCAGAAAAAAAAAAGAAATCATGTTTTCTCTGTGGAGATCACTTTGAAGAGGGAAATCCAGGTATGTCTCCTTTCCTAAGATCCAAATGGTAGGGGATTCTGAAGAGGAAATCAGTTTTAAGCCAGATTATCTAATTGTATTATGTTCTTATATTTAATTTTTGTCATACTCAAACCTTTGGTAAACATCCTTTAGAAATATCGCCCTTATCTCAGAATGCTATGAACTATCAGCACAAGCAACTGTCTGAATGGTTTGGACTTGAAAATTGAACTGAATTCCAACCAAATAGGAAGCAATAACCCTCCAACCTCAAGTACCCCAAAGAACTAAAGGGAAAAATAATATTGAAAAATAAGGATTGGGAGTATACAGTTCTGCTGCCCCTGCACACATGGAGATCCTCTAACCAGTTTCATCTTTGAAGGATCAGTTGTGTTTTGATTAAGAATTTTTTTCCTAATACTGTCTTCCAAAATGTTGATATTAAAATCTGAACTGAAAGACTTTGCATGAAAAAGAAATTTGACCCCTTAGGGATCCAAAGTGTGGGTGGTCACATGAAAAAGACGAAGGATACGCTGCCGGATCTCCTTTGTCTTCACTCCGTAGACAATAGGGTTGAGCACGGGAGGAACAAGCAGGTAGGTGTTGGCCAGGATGATGGGCAGGAGGGAGTCATGCGGCTTGCCAAACCGGTGCACCATAGACAATCCAATGAAAGGTACATAGAATATGAAAACAGCACACACATGAGAGACACATGTACCAAATGCTTTTGCCTGGGCTTCACGTGTCAAGCCCAACACAGTCTTGAGGATAAGTAGATATGACAAAGAGATGAGAAGTGAGTCCAGGCCAATGGCTGAGATGATGACGATGAGGCCATAGATGATATTGACGTGGATGTCAGCACAGGCCAGCTTCATGACATCTTGATGCAGGCAGTAGGAATGGGAAAGGATATTGGATCGGCAGAAGGGTAGCCTTTTGATGAAGACAGGTAGGGGTGCCATAAGTGCAACCCCCCGCACCACAGCAGCCATGCCAATCTTGGTTACACGAGGCAATGTTAGCACAGTGGCATGGCGTAGTGGGTGGCAGATGGCCACATAGCGGTCAAAGGCCATGGCCAGCAGCACTGTGGACTCCATGCCAGATAAAGAGTGGATGGCAAACATCTGTAACAGACAAGCATCAAACTGGATGGTAGTGGAGTTGAACCAGAAGATGGCCATCATTTTGGGCATGGATGAGGTGGAGATGAGAACATCGAGGCCAGAAAGCATGCAAAGAAAGATGTACATGGGTTCATGTAGACTGTGCTCCGTCCGCACAATGTAGATGATTGTCAAGTTACCTAGCACAGCAATAAGGTAGAGGGAGCACAGTGGGAAGGCCAGCCAGAACTGAGCTTCTTCCAAGCCTGGCAGGCCTATTAGGATGAAATACGTGGCACTGGATTCATTGCCATTGGGACCCACCATTGTGAAGAAGCTGAGCTGCAACCAGTGCCAGGCAGGTAGAGGCTGGAATACAAAGATAAGCCATTGTCAGATCCTCTAAGATTTTTCTGTCATTTTCCTCCCCACCACCCCCTCCCTATTCCATGCCCTATTCTTTGACAAGAACTCTAACTTCATTAACTATCCAAACTCTGATCCTATTCTAAATTCAACCTAACTATCCTTCATAACTCAAGGCCCAAATGAGCATTCACCCAGTCTTACTTACTAGCCTCAACTCAAAGTGAATTCAGAAAACAAATAAAATACTGAAGCAAAAATTCTAAGTGTTTTAAATCATGTAGTTCACCGATAAGAGGTAGTTGACTAAGTTCATATCAGACATAGATGATAAAAACTCCCATTGCTTCTATCCTAACTACCCTGTGCTCCCCTATCTTTAATACCTACTGTAATTCTATCATTCAGTTCAGTTCAGTTCAGTCGCTCAGTTGTGTCCGACTCTTTGCGACCCCATGAATCACAGCATGCCAGGCCTCCCTGTCCATCACAAACTCCCGAAATTTACTCAAACTCATGCCCATCGAGTTGGTGATGCCATCAGCCATCTCATCCTCTGTCAGCCCCTTATCCTTCTGCCCCCAATCCCTCCCAGCATCAGGGTCTTTTCCAACGAAAAGACCTTCAACTCTTCACATGAGGTGGCCAAAGTATTGGAGTTTCAGCTTCAACAGCAGTCCTTCCAATGAACACCCAGGACTTATCTCCTTCAGGATGGACTGGTTGGATCTCCTTGCCATTCAAGGGACTCTCAAGAGTCTTCTCCAACACCACAGTTCAAAAGCATCAATTTTTCAGTGCTCATCTTTCTTCACAGTCCAACTGTCACATCCATACCTGACTACTGGAAAAACCATAGCCTTGACCAGATGGACCTTTGTTAGCAAAGTAATGTCTCTGCTTTTTAATATGCTATCTAGGTTGGTCATAACTTTCCTTCCAAGGAATAAGTGTCTTTTAATTTCATGGCTGCAATCATCATCTGCAGTAATTCTGGAGCCTAAAAAATTAAAGTCTGACACTGTTTCCACTGTCTCCCCATCTATTTCCCATGAGGTGATGGGACCAGATGCCATGATCTTAGTTTTCTGAATGTTAAGCTTTAAGCCAACTTTTTCACTCTCCTCTTTCACTTTCATCAAGAGGCTCTTTAGTTCTTCTTCACTTTCTGCCATAAGGGTGGTGTCATCTGCATATCTGAGGTTATTGATATTTCTCCCGGCAATCTTGATTCCAGCTTGTGCTTCTTCCAGCCCAGCATTTCTCATGATGTACTCTGCATATAAGTTAAATAAGCAGGGTGACAATATACAGCCTTGATGTACTCCTTTTCCTATTTGGAACCAGTCTGTTGTTCCATGTCCAGTTCTAACTGTTGCTTCCTGACCTGCATACAGGTTTCTCAAGAGGCAGGTCAGGTGGTCTGGTATTCCCATCTCTTTCAGAATTTTCCACAGTTTATTGTGATCCACACAGTCAAAGGCTTTGGCATAGTCAATAAAGCAGAAATAGATGTTTTTCTGGAACTCTCTTGCTTTTTCGATGATCCAGCGGATGTTGGCAATTTGATCTCTGGTTCCTCTGCCTTTTCTAAAACCAGCTTGAACATCTGGAAGTTCACGGTTCACGTATTGCTGAAGCCTGGCTTGGAGAATTTTGAGCATTACTTTACTAGCGTGTGAGATGAGTGCAATTGTGTGGTAGTTTGAGCATTCTTTGGCATTGCCTTTCTTTGGGATTGGAATGAAAACTGACCTTTTCCAGTCCTGTGGCCACTGCTGAGTTTTCCAAATTTGCTGGCATATTGAGTGCAGCACTTTCACAGCATCATCTTTCAGGATTTGAAATAGCTCAACTGGAATTCCATCACCTCCACTAGCTTTGTTCGTAGTGATGCTTTCTAAGGCCCACTTGACTTCACATTCCAGGATGTCTGGCTCTAGGTGAGTGATCACACCATCGTGATTATCTGGGTCATGAAGATCTTTTTTGTACAGTTCTTCTGTGTATTCTTGCCACCTCTTCTTAATATCTTCTGCTTCTGTTAGGTCCATACCATTTCTGTCCTTTATTGAGCCCATCTTTGCATGAAATGTTCCCTTGGTATCTCTAATTTTCTTGAAGAGATCTCTAGTCTTTCCCATTCTGTTGTTTTCTTCTATTTCTTTGCATTGATCACTGAGGAAGGCTTTCTTATCTCTCCTGGCTATTCTTTGGAACTCTGCATTCAAATGGTAATATCTTTCCTTTTCCCCTTTGCTTTTTGCTCCTCTTTATTTCACAGCTATTTGTAAGGCATCCTCAGACAACCATTTTGTCTTTTTGTATTTCTTTTCCATAGGGATGGTCTTGATCCCTGTCTCCTGTACAATGTCACAAACCTCTGTGCATAGTTCATCAGATCTAGTCCCTTAAATCTATTTCTCACTTCCACTGTATAGTCATAAGGGATTTGATTTAGGTCATACCTGAATGATCAAGTGGTTATCCCTACTTTCTTCAGTTTAAGTCTGAATTTGGCAATAAAGAGTTCATGATCTGAGCCTAAAGCTCTATACAGTCAGCAAAAACAAGACTGGGAGCTGACTGTGGCTCAGATCATGTGGCTCAGATCATCAATTCTATCATTAGACTATCTTTAAGACTAATCACAGTCCAATGTAGCAATACTCTAGTAACACAGACTAACACTGAAATATAACCTTATCACTAATTCTTATGACCTCTCCAATTCTAGACTTAACCCTAACTTTAGCATTAACCTAAGGCTTAAATCCAGTAGCTATTTAAAACAATGTAAAACTTAATAATGGCCTTCCCAGGTGTCTCAATGGTAAAGAATCCACCTGCCAATGCAGGAAACGTGGGTTTGATCCCTGGGTTGGAAAGATCCCCTGGAGAAGGAAATGGCAATCCCCTCCAATATTCTTGCTTGGGAAATCCCATGGACAGCTCCAGTCCATGGGGTAATGAAAGACTTAGACACAACTTAACAGCTAAACAACAAAGACTTAACTCTTGCAGTCATTTAAAACTTAATGTAAAACTTAATAATACCTATTTTATTATGGTAACCCTTAATTCAATTTTTAAAAAAAGATACACTAAAATCTCCTGAACTTTAACTCTACATTCTTACTCTTGCTCAAATGTTCACCCAAAGTCTTACACTTGTTCAGACTGCCCAGTTTATATCATTAAAGGAACAATGACTGCAATGGATGCCATTGGTGTCCCACTCAGATCCCCTTCACCAAGCCAATGCATCTGTATCCCTTCTGTAGTGGATGTTGAGTGAGACAGGCTCAGAATTATCCCTTTCTACAGAAAAATTTTATTTACCAAATGAGAGGCACTTCACCCAGAAAGTCATGTTATCCCCACCAGGGCAGATCTAGAGGTCAATGAGTGCCTGACACAATGGTACACAAGGCCAGCCTCCTTGACTCCAGGTGGGACCAAAGCTGGGATGCAATGTGTGCTCCAAAGCTTCCTGAGGAACCAAAACCTGTAGCTGGTCTCCAGCTGAAACCACAGCCTCACATTATTTTCTTTCCCTGCTCTATCCTATTTCCCTCACTCATCTTCTCATGACAATATGTCCTTTAAATAAGAATTTCTATTTAGGTTCTGTTTCTAGGGGACCTACTAGGCTGAAGAGAGTAGGACTGATACAGAGGACTAAACGTGAATGATGATGTCATTAGAAGCACTGGAGGAACAATCAATCCTATACCAGGGTTCCACCATCCCCAAATCTGGCTATTGAAGTGAGGGATATAAGTAGAGATTCCTGAGGTGGGAAATATCAGACTTGAGTTTTCTCAGATCACATCTCTCTGTTGAAACAATTAGAGAGTTAACTAACTTTCTCCCTTTTTCCCTTTCCTCCATTCATTCACGTATATTCACATGCTCTTATTATTTATTAGATTATATATATTGTATATATAGGTGTATATATTATATATGTGTGTGTGTGTGTGTGTGTGTGTGTGTGTGGCTTCCTCCTCTTCCCATTATGCTAGAGTATATTTAAGAATTTTATCTTGGTAAGAAAAAAGGGGACTTCCCTAGTGGCTCAGACGGTAAAGAATCTACCTGCAATGCAGGAGACCTGGGTTCAATTCCTGGGTTGGGAAGATCCCCTGGAGGAGGGCGTGGCAACCCACTCCTGTATTCTTGCCTGGAGAATCCCCATGGACAGAGGAACCTGGCAGACTACAGTCCATGGGTTTGCAAAGAGTCAGACATGACTGAGCGACTAAGCACAGCATAGCAAGAAAAAAAGGACTAGGTTCTTAAGATTTGGTCCTTGATAACTGAGGTAGGGGCTTCTGCATGGGCTACCAGACAGCAGGTGAATGCAGAGAAGAGCTCACCGCCAGCATCAGGAGGGGTTTACACCATTCACTGGGTTCAGAATGTGTTGATGGTTTTTGTTCCACCATTGATCTGTCACCCAGAGGTTCCCTCAGGCCAGACACAAAGGGGAAAACACTGAGAGCATGAGCTTTAGAACAGAGACGGACAGAGTTTAATTCCAAAAACTGGAGGGAGAAGCTCTAAGGAGTCATGCTTAATGAAGAACTTCAGGTTAAGAAACCAAAGTCTTCAAAGTCACTTAAATCTTCTGTACTAAACTCTCCATAGTATATGACACTGTGATTATTTCTCTCCTTCTTAAAACTTCTCCTTGATCCTTCTGCTTCTCCTCATTTCTCTCTGACCATTAGTTCTTGGTTCTTTCTGGATCTTCAGCTCCTTCACTTGACCCTTAAGCATGCTTTTACATGACAGTGCTCTCAGAATTTTATCCTCAGAGCCCTTTTCAATCTATATACATTCCCTGAGCTATCTCACCCGCTTCAGTAAACCTTCAGTAAACTGTTGATTCCTAAATATTCTTGGGAGGGCCTGAATTATCTTTTGTGATCCAGATTCACAATTATAAAGTCACTAAAAGAATCCACCTAGCTGTCTCTGAAGCACATCAAACTCTC